GATCCCGACTTTGGTTCTCAGGATCCCGACTTTCTTTCTCAGGATCCCGACTTTCTTTCTCAGGATCCCAACTTTGGTTCTCTGAGAACCAAAGTCGGGATCCGTTTTTATTTATTTTTTTCTCGCATGTCCCCTCGCGGTTCCGTAGTTTGCAAAGTTTTTTGATAAAATAAAAATTTAAAAAATATTTTCCACCTTTATGCTTTTGATGTCCTCAGAAAATAKAAAATATGACATTCATTTAAATATCTATAAAGAGAAATCATTAATATAAATAAAACAAGAACTTAAAGAAATGCACTTCACCACCACCATACATGCTTTAGCTGAAACTCTTATTTGATTGTATAGAATGACTCTCAGCTACTAAAGTAAAACTGAATTATAGACATGCTTGTGTTGGCTGTGGCGGCCATCTTGACTTGAGAGACAACCTTCAGCTGATCTGATGGAAATCTGAGCTGTGAGAGGGTAAAAGGCTGGTTTGTCTCCAGGTGTCCCTGTGATGGACTGGAGACATGTCCASATTGTCCTCCTCCTCAGTGGAGACAGGACCCTGAACATGGAGCTCAATCAAATCTAACTTTATTTATAAAGCACTTTTCAAACAGTGATATGGAGGGCTTTAGAGCAGGCAACAAATGAAGTTCAGAAGATAAAAAAAAAAACAGATAAAAAAAAAACAAGATCGTTTTCAGTTCTACATGGCGGAAAGAGTCCATCACAGGGACACGTTTCAACTGAGGGGACAAGAAGATGGGTTGGACATTATTCATTAAAAACAGGAAGTATTATATCCAAAAAGGAAGGAAGGATGAATAGATGGATGGATGGAGGATGGATGGATAGATGGATGGATGATGGATGGATGGATGCATGATAGATGGATGATGGATGGATGATGGATGGATAGATGGTTGATGGACGGATGGATGCATGATAGGTGGATGGATGGATGGATGAATGATGGATGGATGGATGCATGATAGGTGGATGGATGGATGGACRAATGATGGATGGATGGATGGATGATAGATGGATGATGGACAGATGGATGATGGACAGATGGATGAATGAATGGATG